AATAGAAAGTTTAATAGAAATTCAATAGAATTTTCTAACGAATTCGATAGGTTTTTCTATTAAATTTTTTCGTGCGTGTCATTATTTATTATTTCTTAAACTTTGTAGTGCAGCTACTTAGAATTGTTTCCAATAGCTGGGGAGTATTATAAACATTATGTATGAAAAACATGGAGACAATCGTTGGAAAAATCTGGTTTCTAGGGATAGATCTTAAGGAGTCTTAGTTGCTGTTTAAAAATCCAACAGCGGGAATTCACAATTATCGAAGTTATGAAATTATACTTAATCATATTTTCTTGTCAATAGAATATTAGATATCATAATCAATACTATCGATATTTACCGTTGTAAAGAGCAGAGTTTACAACACTACCAGTGAGAGCAACTCCCAAACCGATTTGTCCCAATCTGTTGAAGAAATTGGCGGCCATTTTTAGACTGTATTACCTGAAATCATTGAAAAGTCAGTCAATTGTTGGAACTCGATTCTCCATCTCATTTCCCAATCACATCCAATATCTACACTTAATTATACTGACAAATGCTGTTCAAAATAACGATTGCTCGGCAATGGTGACCGATTTCTGTAGCAACGTGATAAACTAGGATAAGTGCAAAAATAGAACTTTTTCAGTTAAAAAATTTAACTACGTTTGAGAGAATTTTCGATTCACGCAACATAACAATTTTCAAAAAAATGGCACTTATCCTAGTTTACCACTTCGCTACAGATTTGCTCAGGAATTGAAAATGACGATGACTGCTAAAATAAAGAACTCATTTCGCCCCTGGGGAAAATGGTTAAAAAAATTCTCGAACCTAAAACTTATCTTCGTAATAACGTTATTACTCTCCACCCCTGATATATTCCAAAAATTTCATGCAGTCAAAAATTTGATTACTATTCTCTAACATTGTAAATCTCTCTTCAATCCTCCAAAGGAACGCTGAACTAAAAAGTTATCTTCATAATTCCGTGAATCCCTCATTTTATCCCCACAAATTTTTTTTTTAAATCCCTGCACTCGAAAGTTCTCGTCGTAATCCCATAAACTCCATCCCTGATCTAGATAGTAAATTCCCTAATGTCTCAAAAAAAATATTCATACACAAAAATCTCCTCCCCTTCGCCCCTGAATATTCCAAAAATTCCATGCAGTCAAGTGATGGATGCTTCCATAACGAATAATTGCTTAAGGATCTGATTACTATTGTGTAACATTAAAAACTTCTCTTTAACCCTTCAAAGGAACGCTCGCTGTTAGTTCAGATCACAGAATTAATTTCATAATTCCATAATCTGAATCCCTCATTTGACCCCCCGTAAAAAATTTAAAAAAAAGTCCCTGCACTGGAAGTTATCCCGACAATTACTTCATCGCAGGTCCTGCCCCCCCCCACCCCTTTATGAATTATTTGGTGAATAACGACAGTTCCGAAAATTCAATCTGCCCAAAAAAAAAATATCAAACCACTCATCCCCACGTATGAAAAAAACTCAATAGAAACCCTATCGAATTAGCGAAAAAATTCGATTACAATTCCATCGAAATTCCATGGGGTTTCTACAGGATTTCTATTGGAATTCTATTGAAATTCCAATATTTCTATAAGAAAAAGTGAATAGATTTCGAATTTCTGTTTGAATGTTTCTCTTGAGATTTTCCTATAAGAATCCTTGCCATCAATTTTTCTCGACTCGGATTCTGTAATGCAAAACAAAACAAAATCCAGCGGAAAAAACTTGGAAAATTTGTGCCCAATAATTCTAATAGAAAAAATCTCAAGCGAAAAATTGGAACAGAAATTCAAAATATGTGGGCATCGACATGAAAAGGGCCCACTTTGTCGGTTTGGAGTTACGTATATTCCGATAATCTCAGTGAGATTCCTCACATTTTGAGCCCAAAATTAGCACGATAGTATGAAAAATGACGTCGGTATAGAAGATCAAAAAATCAGTTTAACATTGGTTTAAATGGAAGGTGTTGAACACAAAAACGTGAATATCTCGCAAAATAAATCCCTGGTGGAAAAAACTCCTTAAATCCTATTGGAAGAAAAAAGGGTAATTGGAAATAATGACGTTATTGCCGTTGACCCATTATTTCCGATTCAGGTTAGTAGCGCAATGCTGACACGTATGGAAAAATCCAATAGGAAAACCTCGCGAATTAGCTAGAAAATTCTATTGGGATTCTGGAGAAGGAAATTCTAAATCTATTGACTTTTCCGTATGAAATATGCAATAGAATCAGCGCAAAAAGCAAGTAGAATTTCTCAATAGAATGCCAATAGAAATCCTATAAAAACCCCATAAAATTCTCATAGAATTCCAATAGAATTTTCTAGCGAATTCGCGAGATTTTCCATTGAATTTCTTCATGCGTGCAAGTGAAACCCCTCTTTCCACTCCCAAAAAAATTTCAAAAAAATTCTCCACCGGAAAATTCAGCTTCAGTAATCGCACCAGCACTCGCCTATATAGTCCCTCGTGCTCGGAAGCTAACCTCACCGAGCCCACGTACCTACACGACACCCCACTGTCATCGACCCCTAGAATTGCATCAGAAATAATCCCACACATTCTCTCCAATAATCCCAGAATTCCCAAAAATCAAAACCCCGTAAATTTTTCCTCTAATAAAAACGGTGTCTCATTCAATACGAAGCATGAAATGATCTAAATGAACCGGTTCAAGGGTCCCCGGAACTCCGAAACCCCGAACCCGCCCAAAGTTCACTGACTGTCGCTCTGATCATCACCAAAACAAAAGCGAAAATCATCGACTCACGTTATTGTTGTTGTTCCAAAGCTCCACTAATTGTTATCCCCCGGATTTTCTTCAATTCTTCACTATGTAAAGCGTGGAAAAATGGTGCAACACACTCGCGATCCTGAAAACCGTGAGGGGAACGATTGTTGCGCCCGCGTCGTTACGTAAAAGACCACGTGGTCTTCCTTGATTATCTGCTGCCAACAAGTAAATTCCTTCCATTTCGGATAAGGATAAGGTGAGCAGGGTTGGACATCTGTCGATAACCACAGTTTCTTACATGACATTGTAGAAAACCCGCAATTTACGTAATAAATGTAAAAAATGTAAAAAACCAGCCGGAGTTACCTTTTATCGTAAACCGTGAAGCTTCGCGAAGATTATACCTCGCGAGGATGATAAAAGTCACGAGGTTCATACCCCGCCAGTATCATACGTCTCGAGGGTCACACCTCGTAAGGGTCATACCGTGTAAGGGATGAATTTTACAAGGGTCAATCTCATTATTTATTGGTCTCTATTGAATTCGTCGCGTCATCATCTTTTGTCTTGACATTAACTTGTTTCATTCAGCATTCTTAAATGACAAAACTAATTCAATCGTCTTTGGTAGCTTTTTTTAACTCTTTAGAACAAAATAGTTGTTTTCAGGTCCAACTGGGCTTTTCCGGGGCTCCAAATAATAATGTGGAGAATCCAATGAAGCTCAGTAAATAATGAGATTGACTTTCTCAATGGAGATGACTTGCGACTTTGGTCTTTTGTAACGTTTGATCCTCGTGAAATTTACTCTTCATGAGGTATGAGGCTCATGTTTTTGAGTTTCTTAAAATGCCGTAAATCGTATCACGTGATGTAATAGTACATTATGTCACCAGGCGATGAAAGTATTTTCAGACGAATGTGGCGTTATAATCCGAGCCGAAGACGAGGATTTTAACCACATGAGTCAGAAAATTGTTTTATCGCCGTGTGATGTACAATATTTTTCATCACGCTGTGACAAAAAGTGAACTTTTCGGCACGCTCCGCGTGCCTAAATAGTTATTTTCATCACAAGGTCCACAAAGTATTTTCTGACGAATGTGATTATAGGCCTCGCCTTCGGCTCGGCCAATAAAGCCACATTCGTCAGAAAATACTTTGTGGACCTTGTGATGAATGCAATTTTTCGTCAGAAGGCGCGTAAACCGCGATCTAACCGAGCGAAGCGAGGTTAGAATCGCGTTTTACCGGGCCTTGTGACGAAAAGTTCAATTTCCGCCACATTGTGATGAAAAATATTGTTCGCAACTCGTGAAAAAATGTTTTTTAGCTCGTGGGATTATATCACTCGCCTTCGGCTCGTGACCTCCCACTCGCCAAAAAACACTTTTTTGCACTCGTTACGAAATATACTATTACGTCTCTGGGCCCGGAAACCGCGATTTAACCAACGGAATCGATGTTAGAATCGCGGTTTTACGGTCCTAGGGACATAAAATAATATTTTATGCCCCAAGTACTGAGATCCGCGTTCTAACCGAACAAAGTGAAGTTAAAATTCGCGGTTTATCTATTCTCAGGACATAATATAATACTATTTTTGATGATATTTATGTGTTCTATACTGCGTCTTCGGTAGCCGAAATAAAATAAAACAATCTAGTAATCCAAAATTGCAAGCTTTTCGACGTAATGTAAAACATGTAAAAAACCCGTCGAGGTAATTTACGTAAATTACGTCGGTAAAAAACCGTGTAATTTACCAACGTAATTTATACCCCCAACCCTGCCCATCCCATTTTCATTTTTATTGATAAATGTTGAATTTGAATCATCATATTACCTCAATTTTTTACAGAAAAACAAAAATGTCGAAATGCGTAAAAATGGATTTTTAAAGCTATTTCTAGAATTTAAACTCTCTATACGCTCTTTTTTCCTATAATAAGAAAATTATTTGAAAAATTCAGGTAAAAACCTATATTTTTGTTCTAAACTTATTTTTCTCTGAGGTCAACTTCTCCTGATCTCGATGACGGACGCTTAAAAAAATCTGGAAAAATTCACAGAGAGTATTTTTTATGAGTATTACACCACATATTTTTTTCAAATTTTTTGGAAACCTTGAAAAAAATAGGCAGCTGGTTTGATGAAGAAACCGTCATCTGCAGTTTTCCTGGATGATCCACTATGGAAAATGTAAATTCCTCCCTTGCCAATGACCATAACCTGTATTGAAATTACTCAAATGTCTCATCAGATCGTGTCAACAAGTGCAAGTCCATTGTTGTATTCGATGTCATCAGCTGATAAAAACTGATTTCCTGTGTTTTCAATTGCACTATCGAGATTAAAAGTTGAAAATGTACGGTCAGGACCAGGGGCCAGACATCCCAGCTGCATTGGCGACGTTGAATCACCTCAGTAACGCTGACCTGGGGGAAATATTGAACGATGACGGGAGGTTCGAGGAAATTGTCAAAGACATCAAACAGGTGAATGTGTCACGATAGTTGACTACATCATAATAATTCAATCGGCGGAAATTGACATTTTTAACTTCTATAAAAATAGAGCTAACTCATGAGGGACACATCCGTCACTTAAGTCTAGACTCATTATGAAGAGCAGGAAGTGACGTTTTTATTGCCGAAAACACCAGCCCATTATTGCATTGAAAAAATCAATGAGCTATTGATATTTGGCGAAGGGTCAAACGTGTTTATTTTACTCTTTTCTTCGCAGGTGGTAAATAAAGGAAAGTAGAAGGAATATTTTCTCATGTTTATTATCTTCTGAACACATGATACACTGAGAAAAAAACGACAAAGTTCTCAAACAAGTCTCACTTGTGCCAAGAAAATAGTTTTTTGAAAATTATCAAAAAAGGATTTTTTTGTGCCAAACATGCAGAGAGTGCGCCAGAATGAAAAATTTCTGTCGCAAAAATAGATTTAGTAGTTAAAAAAAAAATTGCATTCTCTGTACACGCAAGAAATGTTATTTCTAGCACTACTCCTTCGTTATTCGATACTCCCATACGTATTTTGCTCCCGAAAAATCTTTGTTTTATGCGAAACAAGGGATAGTAGTTTTTCGTTTCGGCTGTCTAATAATCACAGACAAGAAATAAACCCTTAAATGAAACAATAATAATTATATGATAGCAATCTTGAAACTTAGGGATAAAATATTTGTTGATAAATTTTCCTCTGTATGAGATATTTGCATCCTGAAAAGGCACCGTCTGGTGTGATTTATCCACCTCTTGAGCCAAATATTTCGTTGCTGTCGAAAGCAGAACAATTATTCATGTTTGAGACTTTGAAATTCAAACCAAACAAATTTTTTTTTTGCAATTTTCAACTAGCGATTTTGTTGGCCCAAACAAGACTTGTTTGACAACGTGTTTGTTCTTCTCTCAGTGTATGATTCAGAAAGAATTCGAAGATGTTATGAAATTTGAGAAAAGGTCTTGAAAAAAAAGAGGAAAGGATAAATTTTACTTCACCAATTGCGAGTTATTGAGGATTGAACTTTTTTTCTGCTCTAGAGAATGGAATTTCAGTTGAATTGGGGATTATCTCGGTGATAAGTGATGATAAGAGAGAAGATTAGATGTTCTTCTTGTAGAGAATTTGTAAGGTTCCAAGAAATATATTTTCTAAATTGATCCAACCGTTTCTGTTTACCTTTATTGAACAACTCAATTTAAGGCCCGGGTGTACTATCTTTCGAACGTTATACCGATGTTTTTTTTCATCTTTCGCCATCTGAAATTGTCAATTAAGTCCTGCATCATGCAGAAGTTTTGAAAAATTATGAATGAGTAATAAAAAAAAAGTAGAAAAAATTCTCAATTTTTTCAAAGAGCATTTTTAATTTATATTCAGAATAAGTTGAATAACAAGAAATTGAAAAATGTATCTGATTTACGGTGACAAATGGCGGCCTGTCACCCAATATCATGCAGGGGGAAGACTGATTTCGTAAATCTTTTCCCACACTGCACAGAGACATTTATTACGGAAAAGGGTCTTTGAAAAAAGTTGTAATATTCTGGAGAATTTTTTAAACACACTTTTATCACATAAAAATGGCAGATGACTACATACCACTGTTTTGAAAATTGAGATACCTAGCTGTCACTTCCCATGAGGAGTTAGTGTTTTGTTATCCACCATGGAAAATGACAGCTAATAGATAATTTGCCACAGCGAATCAGATATTTGTAATTTCCACTTTTTTCAACTCATTCTGAATCTCAATTAAAAACGCTCTTTGAAAAAGTTCAGAATGTTTTCTATTTTTTTTATCATTCTATCATAATTTTGAGGAATTTCTACATGATGTACCACTCAACTGACAATTTTGAATTACGAAAGATTAAAACAATCCAGATAACATTCGAAAGACAGTAAACCCGGGCCTTAATTCTTTATTTCCTTGATGTTTTTTCAACAAAATTTTTTCTTTGTTTTACGTCTACACATGTCTCCCTCCTCCTTCACGATAGAACTGAGTCTCCTCTCCTCAGAATAACAACAATAATTTTTAAAAAGTCAAATAATTATAACAAAATTGCCTACAAAAAGGATGATAAAGGGTTGAATTTTTATTTCCATCATTATCTTCACCGTAGAATTAGACAATGGAAAGTTTTATTCAGTGTTTTCATTTAGTTCAAAGATTTGGAATCTGAGAAGGAAGTTCTGATTGCTGGAAACCGTTCACTGGCTGAGGTCAATCTGGCGAAGCAACCTCAACTGGAGGAGAATAAGAAAGCACTCCAGGAACTTTCAGAGAAAGGCTGTGAACTTTGTACTAGTGTCCAGGAAAAAATTACGGAATTAAGTACGTCCAAGTATTTTTGTATACATCTGCCCATAAAATAAATAATTAAAATAATTTGCACAATTTTTTAGAGGAAAAATCTGGAGCAACATCAGTTGAATCAGCCCTGGAACTGCTTCAAGCTGCTGCTGCAGAAATTGAAGAAGAATCCGAGGTGAAGAAAATTATGAATTATTAATGACTAGAAAAACAAGATAGTTGAACCAGAAGAATGAGTTTGAATTCAGTAATCAACTGTTGCACCTTGACAAGTCGATTAAGACCGATGAAGCATTTTCTCAAAAAAATAACCAATTACACACCATGAAATCCCTTCATTTATTTACGCATTTGAAGTTTTGCATTAAGGCTTTGTCTGCAGAAATTGTCATCCTCATATTACATAGATCAAATTGCACCCAAAAAATTGACCATTTACAAGTTTTAAGTTAAATTATTATTAAACAAGTTATAAGTTTTTAATAATGTGAAATGCAAACTGTCAATGAGTAATTGGCTGGAAATATTTCAATTTAGTAGACCTCAATATCTATCGTGCAATAAGAATGTGAGGATTGTAATTTGTGTACACAAGTTTTCACTGCAAAACGTCAATATGTCAAGAAATGAAGGGATTCCATCGTGTGTGTAATAGGCCATTTTGTCAAGAAAATACTATTTTGGTATTAAGAGACAATGGAACTTACCATCGGAGTAGAAACTGGATTACAAGTTTTTTCGTCGTCAGGCGACTATTTAGCAAAAGCCAAATCCTCCCATGATCAATAATCTTGATATCTACAGTGTAAGAATTTGGGTTTTGCTGAATAGTCGTCTGACGGCGAATAAACTTGCAATCCAGTTTCTACTCCGATTAGATGGTAAGTTCTATTTCCACTTAAAGTACGCTTTTCAATTTTAAACTTCTTCTACCAATTGGTCGATCGATATTAACAGAAGAATAAAAACAACCACATCAAGGGGTCACTATTTGCCATTTATATTGAGAGAAAAATAGTTACGGTATTTATTATTTCAACATGTCAGAAACAACTCTAATCAAAAATTAAAATAATTAGCAATAACAATTGATTAATGGAAAAACTGCATATTGAAAACTCCTGTTCTCAAAACTATAATACAAATACTTGCCAAAATGACATGAACATCAAAAATATGCAAGACCTTATTGGTAATATTTTCACTGAATTGTTTTAATTTTCCTGTTGTTTCCTCTTATTCAGAAAATAGCAGAGAAATTCCTGTCAGGAGACACAGAAGTCGACGAATTTCTCGACCAGTTCCTGACCCGAAGAAAGATAATGCATTTACGAAAGGTGAAGGTAGACAAGATGCGAGAACTGAAGAGAAAACCAACGTCGAGATCCTCAACGGGTCCTGGTTACCCTCCACCCAGTAACTTCCCAGGAATAGCTCCAGGTGTGCCCTATCCAACTGGACCTGTGGGCATGCCCATGCCAGTACCTCCCATGTATCGGCCATACTAATCATCTTCACATTGAAGAGACGATCTCTTCTCTGTAGAAATTAATAACTCAACGATTCTTAGCCATAAGTTGATACAAGTGATCCATATTAAAGATTAATTTACTAGGAATAATTGCAAATGTATATGACAAGTTTAATCACACAAATATTTTCGTTATTGATTAAATGTCAAGATGATGATTGCAAAGAAATTTTTATTCATAAATAAAGTAGGAGATTTGAACAATTTTTGCCATTTGAGCATTAGGAATAAATTTCTTTTTTATTTGAAGTTGAAAATAATTTACACTTCCCCGTTTTTCTTCGCTTCCGAACAGGAGCTTTGTAATCAGTCAAATTTAAGTTTCCAATTTTTTGTGTTAGAGTTGCTAAATATGGTCTAAAAAATCAAAATAGGCGATTTTTAGATGGTGTCTGTGTATGTATATGTGTGTATATATGTATGTGATTTTTTTTCTTCAGTTTTCCGAAATTTTTCTTAAAAAGGATGAATCGAATTTCATGAATTTTTTCATTTATTATAAAATACCAAATCGACTTCTGGTGATAAAAATTTGGTACTCAAAATGAAGACTCCACAATTAAGGGTCCCGAATTATGCGAAGTCAAAATTTCAGGTTTGGCCAAGTGAGTTATTATTTAAAAAATTATAACTCGATAAATATGAATTCAGTAGCGAAGTGGTAAAACGGTATAAGTCAATTTTGACTATTGGCCAGTTTTCAATGAATATCTCGAAATCTAAGAAAGGTAGCAAAATTTTTGTTATAACGTTTTTTGTAGAACCGACTAAGAGCTACAACAAATGTGGTTACGAAAATTTCGCTATCTCCCTCAGATTAGGAAATATTCACAAAAAACTCAACTGGGAGATAAGTCGACTTAAACCATTTTATCACTTCGATACTGAATTTTATCAAAGAAGTGCAAAAGAACTTTTTCATTCAAAACAGGTGTATGTTTCGGATAAAAAAATCCAAACTTGAAAAAATTGAATTTACAGTTTATTGAATGAATCAATAAACAAATTAAAAAGTCAGCTACAAATCATGATGGCATGTCGCGAAAAATTCGAAAAAAATATAGATTACAGAGTAGGTATCGAAGAATTGCCGATGCAATTGGCAATTCACTGATCTCCACTAGGTCTCGAAATATTGAGTTTTTTTAATTAATAATAAATGAATTCCTCTTGATAAATCGGATTTATTCAACAATCTCCTACTATTTACAAAGCAACAATTAAATTACACGAAAACTAATCTCTCATCAGGTACCGCCCTCCGTCCGTTTCTCTCCATCCCCAGCCACCGGAATGTCAAATGACTTGGGACGTTCCATACTACTTCATCAAATCGAAAGACTTTTTTCAAACTTCAAGAAAAATTGAATATGTTGTCGATTTATTCCATACATGTCTTGAATATGTATAAAAATATTGTTCTGAGTGATGCGAAATCAAAATTTCAGGTTGGACCAGGTGAATTATTTATTTAAAATTATAACTCGATAAATCTGAATTTTATCAAAGAAGTGCAAAAGAACTTTTTCATTCAAAACAGGTTTAAGTTTCGGATAAAAAAATCCAAACACAAAAATTGAATTTACAGTGAATTAATCAATAAACAAATTAAAAAGTTAGCTACAAATCACGAGGGCATGTCGCGAAAAATTCGAAAAAAATATAGGTTACAGAGTAGGTACCGAAGAATTGCCGATGCAATTGGCATTCACTGATCTCCACTAGGTCTCGAAATATTGCGTTTTTTAATTAATAATAAATGAATTCCTCTTGATAAATCGGATTTATTCAACAATCTCCTACTATTTACAAAGCAACAATTAAATTACACGAAAACTAATCTCTCATCAGGTACCGCCCTCCGTCCGTTTCTCTCCATCCCCAGCCACCGGAATGTCAAATGACTTGGGACGTTCCATACTACTTCATCAAATCGAAAGACTTTTTTCAAACTTCAAGAAAAATTGAATATGTTGTCGATTTATTCCATACATGTCTTGAATATGTATAAAAATATTGTTCTGAGTGATGCGAAATCAAAATTTCAGGTTGGACCAGGTGAATTATTTATTTAAAATTATAACTCGATAAATCTGAATTTTATCAAAGAAGTGCAAAAGAACTTTTTCATTCAAAACAGGTTTAAGTTTCGGATAAAAAAATCCAAACACAAAAATTGAATTTACAGTGAATTAATCAATAAACAAATTAAAAAGTTAGCTACAAATCACGAGGGCATGTCGCGAAAAATTCGAAAAAAATATAGGTTACAGAGTAGGTATCGAAGAATTACCGATGCAATTGGCAATTCACTGATCTCCACTAGGTCTCGAAATATTGCGTTTTTTAATTAATAATAAATGAATTCCTCTTGATAAATCGGATTTATTCAACAATCTCCTACTATTTACAAAGCAACAATTAAATTACACGAAAACTAATCTCTCATCAGGTACCGCCCTCCGTCCGTTTCTCTCCATCCCCAGCCACCGGAATGTCAAATGACTTGGGACGTTCCATACTACTTCATCAAATCGAAAGACTTTTTTCAAACTTCAAGAAAAATTGAATATGTTGTCGATTTATTCCATACATGTCTTGAATATGTATAAAAATATTGTTCTGAGTGATGCGAACTCAAAATTTCAGGTTGGACCAGGTGAATTATTTATTTAAAATTATAACTCGATAAATCTTAATTTTATCAAAGAAGTGCAAAAGAACTTTTTCATTCAAAACAGGTTTAAGTTTCGGATAAAAAAATCCAAACACAAAAATTGAATTTACAGTGAATTAATCAATAAACAAATTAAAAAGTTAGCTACAAATCACGAGGGCATGTCGCGAAAAATTCGAAAAAAATATAGGTTACAGAGTAGGTATCGAAGAATTACCGATGCAATTGGTAATTCACTGATCTCCACTAGGTCTCGAAATATTGCGTTTTTTAATTAATAATAAATGAATTCCTCTTGATAAATCGGATTTATTCAACAATCTCCTACTATTTACAAAGCAACAATTAAATTACACGAAAACTAATCTCTCATCAGGTACCGCCCTCCCCCCGTTTCTCTCTATCCCCAGCCACCGGAATATCAAACGTATTACTACTAGTGATCAGCCCCATGATCACACCGAGCAGACAAAGAATTAGAGTCAATAACAACTTCTCCGTCGCATGTAGATTCTGCTCCGATGTTATCGCGTCCTTCTGCTTCTGCGACCTCTTCACCTCTTCCTTCGTGACCCACGTCTTCTTGAAGGTGGTCCCGTAATGTTCCTTGGTCCACCGATCGAAATCGTACATCTTGCCACCCCCAGGCACCTCAGAGCTGTGGCGATGAATAGCAGACCTCACCCTGGAGGCCTCCTTCTCGATATCCTGGGGCTTGTAACCCTCAGATCGCCTAGTCTCTTGACCCTAGGGATGCAAAGTGATGGTAATTTCTTAGATTTCTTGGTCATTGTTGTGACGCGAAATTCCGTCACTTTTTTCGGACCAAAAACGGTCAGCAAGGTTCGGGATATAAATTACGTTGGTAAATTACACCGTTTTTTACCGAGGTAATTTACGTAAATTACCGCGACGGGTTTTTTACATTTTTTACATTACTTCGAAAAGCTTGCAATTTTCGGTTACTAGAATATTTTACTTTATTCCGACTGACGAAAACGCAGTATTGGACACATAGGGGAAGATGGGGTAAAATGGACACTTTTGATTTTTTTAAAATTATTCATAGCTCAGAAACATATTTATCAATTGAGCTCAGTGTGTGCTCATCACAAAGAGGAATCATTGTTCTTTATATGGGAAAATAAAATTAGTACATTTCATGAGCAATTCAACACGTGATGAACATTTTTTAAAAAGTCAAAAGTGTCCATTTTACCCCACCCTCCCCTAAATATCATAAAAAATAGTATATCATGTCCTGAGGACAGATAAACCGCAAATTTTAACTCAACTTTATTCGGTTAGAACGCGAACTTAGTACTTGGGGCATAAAATATTATTTTATGTCCCTAGGAGCGTAAAACCGCGATTTTAACACCGATTCCCTCAGTTAAATCGCGGTTTCCGGGCTCGGAGACGTAAAATATTGTACGTCACACAGCGATGAAACAATTTTCAAACTCATGTGATTAAAACCCTCGTCTTCGGCTCGGATTATAAAGCCACATTCGTCAGAAAATACTTTCATCGCCTGGTGACATAATGTACTATTACATCACGTGATACGATTTACGGCATTTTAAAAAACTCAAAAACATGAGCCTCATACCTCATGAAGAGTGAATTTCACGAGGATCAAACGTTACAAAAGACCAAAGTCACAAGTCATCTCCATTGAGAAAATCAATCTCATTATTTATTGAACTTCATTGGATTCTCCACATTATTATTTGGAGCCCCGGAAAAGCCCAGTTGGTCCTGAAAACAACTATTTTGTTCTGAAGAGTTAAAAAAAGCTACCAAAGACGATTGAATTAGTTTTGTCATTTAAGAATGCTGAATGAAACAAGTTAATGTCAAGACAAAAGATGATGACGCGACGAATTCAATAGAGATCAATAAATAATGAGATTGACCCTTGCAAAATTCATCCCTTACACGGTATGACCCTTACGAGGTGGGACCCTCAAGACGTATGATCTTGGCGAGGTATGAGCCTCGTGACTTTTATCACCCTCGCAAGGGATAATCTTCGCGAAACTCCGCGGTTTACGATAAAAGGTAACTTCGGCTGGTTTTTTACATTTATTACGTAAATTAGGGGCTTTTTACGGACTTTTGTCCGTTACATCCCTACCTGATCCACCTTGATCTGCATTCCCCTGTCGTACTGCTTCCTCTTCTGGTAATTTCCCAGGACCTCGTAGGCCTCTGCTATGTCCCTAAACTTGACCTTGGCAGCTTCACTGCTATTTTTGTCAGGATGATACTGCATTGTCAGCTTGAAATATGCGGATTTTATCTCACCCTGAGTCGCCTTCGAGTCCACCTCCAGACTGTCATAGTGATTCTTCCTTTTCACACGTGAGGCCAGACCCCTTGTCAGCACTGATGAACTCGACAAGATTCTTGTGCGACAATTCATTGTTGAGATTGTTTTATTTGGAGGGCTTCAGTTGTCACTTGATGGGTTCACTCATTGGTCCTGTCTGATTTTTTGAGGTTTTTAGTGAGGTTTTCAGTGAACTTTGAAGGGCATTTTGAGTTAATTTAGAACTGTCACCTCGAACTACTGTTTTCGAAGGAGAAATGTTCAAGGGTTCGTTTCGGAGGTTAGGGCGGACATTTTTTTTCAAGAGCTGCTGGGGCGGGCTCTGAGGTTGCCTGGAAGTACTAGGAGTGACTAGGAGAGAGTGACCAGTGGTAAGACCTCATTTGGATATTTTTGTAATAAACTTTTGGTTTATTAGTATTTCCAGGGGAAAATTGAGGTAATTTATTGGTTTTTGTTGAGGGGAATTGAGTTCTGAGGGTTTTGGGTGATTGTTTGGGCAATTGATTGAAGATTTTGGGGTTTTTAAGACCTCCGTGACGCATTAGAGTTGCTTACTTCCTTATAAGGAGTGCCGGAGGCTGTTTATTGCTCCAAAATGACTTTCAGAGGTTTATTCAGAGAAAAGAAAGAATAAGACTTTAAAATTTTTTAAAAAGGAGGTTAAAATGTTACATATTTTTTACTGAAATATTCAGTACAATTGTTAAACATTTTTATCAAATGACAGTTCCACTGGAATCTGTAATTGAAAAATTTCGTAATTGAAAACTCATTAATTGACTAGAAAATCAATGGAAACTCAATTTTATTTCAAGTATTCCATGAAAATCAATAAAAATCAGCCAATTTCAGTCTATTGTGCTGCTCAAAAATATTGAATTCCATTTAAGATATTTTTATCATGAAATTTTGGTTCATCAGTACTTACTGAGGGGAATGGTGATATTTTATTGGTTTTCAATGATCAGAATTGATTTCGAAGGGTTTTAGGTGATTGTTTGGACAATCGATTGAAGATTTTTTGATTTTGGGCATTTTAACGTCTCTGTGACGCATTGGAGTTGTTGCGTGTTACTCAAAAATGACTTTTAGATGTTTATTCAGAGAAAAGAAACAATAATTGGATAAAGGGATTTTTTGCAAATGAAAATGTTAAATTTTTTATTGATTTTTCCTGTACACTTATTGATTGTTTTTATCAAGTGACAATTCCACTAGAATCGGTAATTGAAGAATTTCATAATTGAAAACTCATTAATTGATGAGAAAATCAATGGAAACTAAATTTCAATTCAATTATTCAATGAAAATGCATAGAAATCAATAAAATTCATTATATTTTGGGGAATTTTCGTCTGCTTGTTGTTCGAAAATATTGAATTTCGTTCCATTTTGGATATTTTTATCATAAAATTTTGGTTTATTAGTACTTACTGAAGAAAATTGAGATAATTTATAAGTTTGTATATTGAGGATAATAGATGTCTGATGGTTTTGGGACATTGTTGAAACAATTGATTGAAGACTTTAGGTTTTTTAAGGTCTTTATGGCGCATTCGAGTCACTTCTTTATAAACAGTGACGAAGACTGTTTATTGCTTGAAGTGACTTTCAAAGGTTTATGCAGAGAGAAGGACTAATAATTGGATAAAAGGGCTTTTTGGAGATTAAAATGTTGATTTTTTTGTACTGAATTTTAATGTATACTTGGTGAACGTTTTTATCAAGTGACAGTCCAATTAAAATCTCAGAGAATTTCGCAATTGAAAACTCATCAATCGACAAGAAAATCAATGGTACCTAATTTCAGTTCTATTATTCTATGAAGTTTCTATTAATTTTCTTTGAATTTTCTTTTTCAGTTCAATTATTCTATGAAGTTTCTATTAATTTTCATAGAATAATTGAACCGAGAAAGAAAATTTCTTAAAAAAGAAAATTCAAAGAAAATTCATTATAATTTGGGGAATTTTCGTCTGCGTGATGTTCAAAAATATTGAATTCCGTTACATTTTGGATATTTTCATCATAACATTTTAGTTTATTAATATTTGCTGAGGAAAATTGAGATAATTTACGAATACAATTTACTTTCATTTCACCAGCGATATATGTTCAGTTATCAAAACAAATTAACACTTATACATAATGTACATATTTACCTAGCTACCTCTACCACTGTACAGATAAACCTAGATTAAGGTTATCGATTGTTCAAATTGAGTCATGTTATTGGCTTCGGCTGTTTGATTTTGTGAATAAAATAAATAAATAAAAATAAAATAATTTATAAATTTATATTGAGGGTAATTGATTTCTGATGGTTTTGGGTGATTGTTGGAGCAATTGATTGAACATTTTTTAAGGTTTTTGAAACACATTTGAGTCGCTTACTTTTTTATAAGGAGTGACGAAGAGTACTTATTACTCCAATGTGATTTTCAGAGGTTCATTCAGGGAAAGGACTAATAGTTGGAGCACAAGACTTTTTGGAGATTAAAATGGAGGGAGTTATTCAGCAGAAGGTCCTGGAGGTTGCAAAACAGGTGGAGAGTCAGTTAGATGCGGAGATCGAGGCTCTGGAGAATTTGGATATCGATGATATTGAGAAATTGAGAGAGAAGAGGCTCCAGGAGATGAAGAAAGTGCATCAGCAGAAACAGGCGTGGTTGGCTGCTGTAAGGACCTCAAGAACATTTTATGATGTTTACTTTACATGAAGGAATTTGATGATGAAACCTTTCTAGGCCTTAAAATGAGATCTACTTCATTAAAATTGAACCATTCTTTTTTATCCGCGATTGTCATCTCATTTTGAAGAAATATATATATTTTTTTTATTCATATGTTAACCTACAATGGGTTATTTACAATCAAATAGGTAGCTACGATTTTGCTACAATCATGTAATACAGTTCTGTTTAACTACCGTTTGTTTCAAATTCTAATTTTACATTTTTTGAGAAACTGGTGAATAATTTTTAACGGTTCAATGATTGACAGTTAAAGAAATATTTGAAGGGTTTAAAATGAGATCCAGTTCTTCAACATTAGACTATTTGGTAACAGAAGACATTAATGATTTGAAATTAATTTGACTTTATTTTCCTCTAGTTAATTTTGATTGACGGTATTAATGAATTCCTTTGCTGTTTCAGGGACATGGAGAGTATACTGAAATCCCTGATGAAAAAGGCTTTTTTGATGTTTCAAAGAAATCGAAGAATATTGTATGTTTGTTCTACAAAGATGGATCTCCAAGGTGTAAGATTGCAGACAAACATCTGCAGATTCTTGCTAAGAAACATGTAGAGGCGAGGTTCTGCAAATTGAATGTCGAGAGGTGTCCATTTTTAACAGGTGAGGGTTCGGAAATTGTCTGGGGAGTATTTTCGGAATATTTATGTAGCTGGTGAGTTTGCGGGGAAAATTTAGAAAATTTTCTAGAAAAAAGTTTCTTCACTATAATATTCATAATTGGAGATTTTTTTTCTAAATGTCTGTGAACCTATTTTCGAGGAGATTATCGAGAGACAGTTTACGTGAATTGTAAAATTTCTCAAGTTCTCTTTCGAAGATTTCCGCAAAATTATGTGTAAGTTCACATTAATTATAATGTGATGACTTCCAATGTACAGTAAAATCCGTCTTTTGATTATTTCTTCTGAAATCACTCATTAACAAAATAACTCCACAATTATCTAGATGATATTTCCACTCAGGGCATCATTTTGCAAAACTCAGAAGCAAAGAAATATCAAGAAACATTTTTGTAGATTATAAATCTGTAGCGAAATGGTAAACTAGTATAAGTGCAAAAATGAAACTTTTTCAGGAAAATTAAAAAATTTGATCACGTTTGAGAGAAAAATTGCACTTATCCTAGTTTACCACTTCGCTACCGAAATGTTCTCTAAGAAAAGGTCTTTCAATATCTTCTACTATCTCTCTCCTCCGGAAGCTCTTCAAAAAATTGACTGAGTCTTAATGATGACGCAATCATCCATCACCGAAATTTCTCATGTTTCCAGAACGTTTGAGAATCAAAGTAATTCCCACAATAGCCCTCATCTCAGACAGCAAGACAAAAGACTACATCGTTGGCTTCACAGACTTGGGAAACTGCGACGATTTCTCCACAGAGATGATGGAATGGAGGATTGCCCAGTCTGGAGCGATATCATACACTGGCGACCTGTTGAACCCACCGGAAAAGGGAAAGAAATCCTCGAACCTACTCGTTGGAAACAAGAAGTCAAAGACCATTCGAGGGAGAACAAATTCCGACGACAGTGGCTCTGACGACGAATGATCCCTTCCCACTGTATTCTTCTAATTATTCTCAAGCACTTTATATTTTTCATTTTTTTACCATTAGCACGCTTAAACTATAAATCATAAGTAAAATCAATAGGAAACTTCCCATGTTGAAAATTTAATAGAGAAGAATATTGATTACTTTTAGGTAATGATAATAAATAAGATTTAGGAATTTGGTCACAAATTATTCAAATTTAACTTCCCATCTTGAAAATTTAATAAAGAAGAATATTATATTGATTACATTCAGTCATAAATTACTCAAATTTATTAGTTCTCCATTCATCATAAATACCTTCCATCCTTCATACCAAATAGAAAAAAAGAGGTATAAAAATTAATGTGCGTTCCACATACCCCTTCGCCGGAATCTTACGGAATGTTACCACTTTTATATGACCAGCACATAGAAGTTAATCAACAGTTTCTTTACGAAAAACGCAATTTACGGATTGAATTGATCCACTCGTGGAGCTCCTAGAGTTTATTACCATGCACTGAAAAAATCACGAAACATTGGATTCTGTTAAAATTCTGTTTAATAAATCTGTCTAGGATATTGAGCATGTATCAGGGTATAACAAAGTGTTTCTGAATAAACCTTTTTGCTTAGTGTCATCTCGCTCGTCCCACAGGGTTTTCCCATCGCAGGCACAAATTTTTTTCGTGTTCTCGAAGACTCCAGAGGATCTTGCGATTATTCCGCATGCCAATCTGCAAGATAATTCCATAAAACAATTGTTTTATTTGATTATTTCAACAATTAAACAATCAAATAAAACAATGAATAGTTTTTGTTTTGTTTAATTATTAAACAATCAAATAAAACAATGAATATTTTTTTTCCCCATAAATTGAACCTGGGAAAACAAATTCTCCGTTTTTCAAGAAAAAAAAATGTTAAATAGTATTTTTCGCATGATTTTTCCTTAGGAATCCGTTATTGTAACCCAAATTTGTCTCCGAACGCTAAAAAACAGATTCAGATTTTTTTGAATTAAAAAATCAATTTTTTTTAAATCCCCAACGGATTTTTAAAAATAGTTTTTTGAATATGATGGCAAATTTTCATTCCTTAATTATGAAAAATACGGGAGAAAATACAAATTTTAATAAACGAATAAATTTCAAAATCTATCTTCTCCCGCTGTTTTTATAATTGCAGCGCGAAAATTTGTGATCATATTCAAAAAAATATTTTTAAAAGCGTTGGGAATTAGTTTAAGTTGGCTTTTCGTATAAGTATACGTAATACTTATTCATATTGATTCATAGTCCCGATGAACTTCTGAGAGAACTTGGGTTAAACTCTGGCTAAATTCTGCATAAATCCTGAATAAATCACGACTATACACTGATTAAACCCTGATTGAACCTTAATTAAATCTGGTCTGAAAACTAATTCGAGTCTTGAGAGGGTCTGAATGTAGAATTATGTCGATGACATTTCAATTAACACCAACACTATGACCCGAAAAAATAGAAGAAGAGAATAGTAAAACAATGATTAAAAACAGAGAACCTATTCGTAAGCAAATGACTAATTTCTTATCAACAATAACTATACTCATTTCGAAGAAAATGCAATTGTCCACTTGTTTAATGTGATTAATTGTTTAGTGGAAATTTTTGAAATTCATGAGAAAAATTTTGCAAAAATATAAAATCTCTCTCTCATTCTGAAACATACCTCATGCCACTATTTCCATCAACTTTAGATTTCAAACTATCTCCCTTGCCAAGATCGTCAGAATCCTGAGTGATGACCAGAGATCTTCCTATAATATCACCAACATTAAGTACTTTGTCTTGCAATCTGAATCTAGCTCTGCCAGACTTGTCAGCTACGATATTGCCAAGATCTCCCACGTGCTGAATAGAAAAAAATCCCATCAAAAGACCACACGAATTGCGATTACAGTATTAAAAATTCTGACTGAAATTTCTGGTACACTTCTTCTAAAAATCACAATTTAAGGCCCGGGTGACTATCTTTCAAACGTTATCTCGATATTTTTTTTTTAATCTTTCGTCATCTGAAATTGTCAATTAAGTCCTGCATCATGCAGAAGTTTTGAAAAATTATGAATGAATAATAAAAAAAAAGTAGAAAAAATTCATAAGTTTTTCAAAGAGCATTTTTAATTTATATTCAGAATAAGTTGAATAACAAGAAATTGAAAAATGTATCTGATTTACGGTGACAAATGGCGGCCTGTCACCCAATATCATGCATGGAGAAGACCGATTTCGTAAATCTTTTCCCACACTGCACAGAGACATTTATTACGGAAAAGGTTCTTTGAAAAAAGTTGTAATATTTTGGAGAATTTTTTAATCACACTTTTATCACATAAAAATGGCCGATGACTACATACCACTGTTTTGAAAATTGAGATACCTAGCTGTCCTTTCACACGAGGAGTTAGTGTTTTGTAATCCACCGTGGAAAATGACAGCTAATAGATAATTTGCCACAGCGAATCAGATATTTGTAATTCCCACTTTTTTCAACTCATTCTGAATCTCAATTAAAAACGCTCTTTGAAAAAGTTCAGAATTTTTTCCATTGTTTTTTATCATTCTATCACAATTTTTGGGAATTTCTACAGGATGTACCACTCAATTGACAATTTTGGATTACGAAAGACAAAAAATTCCAGATAACATTCAGAAGATAGTACACCCGAGCCATAATTGGAAATTTATAATTTGAAAAATTATGTACCTCTTGAAGGAACGAGCTGGAAGGGTGGTCCCTTAATTACTACATGGAGCACCCATAATTATTACATGAGGTGTCTCAAAGAAATTTAAATTCATATTAGCTACCTAGGCTGCCCATAATTTAGTCACGAATATTTAGTTTCACCAAAAAATCAATGGAAACTGTAAATGTCAGTTCAATTATGAAATCAGGAAAATTCAGATAAATATATTTTTCAATTGACAATTAATTGAAAATTTAACCTTGGATTTAATTTGGTCTTGAATATTCATCTACTGAATCTTCATAGAAATTCGAAATTTAATAATAAAAAAAAACTGTGAGTTATGGAAAAATGGAAATCTGAATTAAGAACAGGAAATACCCTTTGAGTAATATCATCGTCGGGGCCTCCATGAGTTGCATCGTACGGGTTGAAATGATCCCCAACAGTATCGCAACCCCCGGAGATGTCCCCACACTCATGGACATGCATCCCATGGGCTCCAGGGTTCAATCCATCCACAGTTCCATCGATGATACATCCAGTTGGTGTCTGAACGAATCTCACGACTCCTTGAATCGCTCTACTGATACCAAAGCCCGACGTTCCTCCCACCATAGACACAGCACTTATAGTTCTGTCTGAAACAAAATCGAACGGATAATTCCTAAATTTATAGCTCATTCCTCGATTGACTCTGAAAATCCTCGAGAACAAGACGGTCTAGGATGAAATCTCTGGATAATTTTCTCACAGTTGAATTTTCTCACAATTTCGCCTCTCGAGAATGTCCTCCTACCTACTCCGAAATTCTATGCAACAATATCACGGCAAATACCCCATACACTGAGAGAAAAACAACAAAGTTCTCAAACAAGTCTTACTTGTGTCGAAGAAATATTTTTTTGAAAATGATCAAAAAAGGATTTTTTTTGTGCCAAACATGCAGAGAGTGTGCCGGAATGAAAAATTTTTGTCGCAAAAATAGATTTAGTAGTTTAAAAAAATGCATTCTCTGTACACGCAAGAAATGTCATTTCTAGCACTACTCCTTCGTTATTCGATTCTCCCATACGTATTTTGCTCCCGAAAAATCTTTGGTTTACGCGAAACAAGGGATAGTAGTTTTTCGTTTCGGCTGTCTAATAATCAGAGACGAGAAATGAACCCTTAAATGACACAATAATAATGATATGATAGTCTTGTAACTTAGGGATAAAATATTAGTTGATAAATTTTCCTCTATATGAGATGTTTTCATCCTGAAAAGGCACCGTCTGGTGTGAATTATCTGTCGAAAGCAGAACAATTATTCATGTTTGAGATTTTCAAATTCGAACCAAACAAATGCTTTTTTGGCAATTTTCAACTAGCAATTGTGACAACGTGTTTGTTTTTCTCTCATTGTACGGAGGAACAGCGATAATTCGTCCATTCAACCAATTCTCCGTAATTTATCGCGATTATGTTACTGCGAGAGATCAATGAAGGTGATAAAGAACAGCAAAGGGAAATATTCATAGGAAAAAAACTATTTCATATAAAAAACCAAATAGTGAAATAGTGCAATGAATTAGTAAATACTATATATAATACTGGACGGCTCAGAATTGCGTTTTTCATTTTCTGTTTCGTTGAAATTAAATATCAAGTAACAATTTTATTTCAATTTCAAAAAGACATGTAAATAAATATCCCGTTAATGTATCGTCACATTAAAGAAGGGAATTTGTATCGCGTTCCACATTTTTGTGACATCATAGAAAATGAGTGGATGGGATTTGGATGATGTAGGAGGGGAGCCGGGATCATTCTGATTATGAATAATCAGAAAACTTTTACTGAAAAAAAAGAATAGTCCAGACCGGGATATGAACCCGGATACTATTTGATTGATAATTAAAATTAAGGACCGGGTGTACTATCTTTCGAATGTTATCTGGGTTTTTTTTATCTTTCGTAATCCAAAATTGTCAATTGAGTGGTACATCGTGTAGAAATTCCCAAAAATGTGATAGAATGATCAAAAAAATAGAAACATTCTGAACTTTTTCAAAGAGGGTTTTTAATTGAGATTCAGAATGAGGTGAAAAAAGTGGAAATTACAAATATCTGATTCGCTGTGGCAAATTATCTATTAGCTGTCATTTTCCATGGTGGATAACAAAACACTAACTCCTCATGGGAAGTGACAGCTAGGTATCTCAATTTTCAAAACAGTGGTATGTAGTCATCTGCCATTTTTATGTGATAAAAGTGTGATTAAAAAATTCTCCAAAATATTACAACTTTTTTCAAAGAACCTTTTCCGTAATAAATGTCTCTGTGCAGTGTGGGAAAAGATTTACGAAATCGGTCTTCTCCATGCATGATATTGGGTGACAGGCCGCCATTTGTCACCGTAAATCAGATACATTTTTCAATTTCTTGTGATTCAACTTATTTTGAATATAAATTAAAAATGCTCTTCGAAAAAATTGAGAATTTTTTCTACTTTTTTTTGATTATTCATTCATAATTTTTCAAAACTTCTGCATGATGCAGGACTTAATTGACAATTTCTGATAACGAAATATGAAAAAAACATCGAAATAACGTTCGAAAGATAGTACACCCGGGCCTTAAAGATTAATAAATACCATAGAATAATAATATTAAAATATATTAATATTAATACTATTTGATCGACCGAATTAGTCAACTTGAAATATATATTTCAAACGGTATTTCATCGTACTGAACCATTTGAACAAGTATTTCTATTTGATTTTCATGAAATACTGCCCAGCTCTGAGTCCACCCCACCTCAATTCCTCAATCAACAATAAAAGAATGAGTCACCTCCATATCCTTTCAAAACCGCCCTTTTTCCAACGCTCTCAATCTTCTCCTGAATAACAGAATAAGGCAGATGAGTCTGGAGCACAACAGTTCCTCTCTCCAAAGAAACATCAACATCCTGGATCCCCTTGAGCTCCCCCAGCGATTCCTCCACCTTCTTCACGCAGTTCTGACACGTCATGTCCACAGCAAACTCCACCTAAAATCCAGCACAATCTTCAGCCAACCCATCTCCCTTATTTTCCCGATGTCTCTACACTGAGAAAAAAATTACCTTTGCCAAGAAATAATTTTCTTGGCAGAAGAATTTATTTTTTTAGAAGCGTATTTCTCCAGACCCGTCATTTCCAGGTGGTGCAAGTCCATCTCCAAATGTTACAATTATGTTGAATTTGTGAGATGATAATGCTACACATGACCTTGAATGAACTCAATTATTAATTTTATAATTGAGTAATTTAATAATTAAATTGATAATTAATTTGGCGATTATTAACATTTAGAATTATTCCAAATTATTTTACATAAGAAAATCTGAAATTTCAAAAAATTGAAAAATAATGGTGCTTATTCAAGGTCACGTCTAGCATAATTACCTCACAATTCAACATAATTGTAACATTTGGTGATGGACATGGACCGAATGGGAACGACTGGCCTGGAGAAATACGCTCCCAAAAAAATGAATTCTTCTCCTAAGAAAATGATTCCTTGCAACAAGTAAATTTTTTTCCAGTGTAACTCCACAAAAATAAAACCCTCACCTTGGTCGTCATTTTGGAGCACAACAATAACCCAACAAACGGATAGTCCCCCGCCTAGACCTCTTCCACTTCACCAGTACCAGCCACCGACCGTCAAATAATATGTTATTAATCCCCTCTGGCCTTCAAAAACATCCTAATCACCCCACGTAACTCTCATTGCGCAGTAAAACTCACTTATCATAATTAAATCCCATTTTGTTTACAAAAAAACGCAACGAACTGGAGCCGGCGTGATGTCAGCGCCGCCTGCATCTCCCCCCACGCTCGTCATGACAAGCACACGAGGGATTACTAATAGTAATCGCTCCTCCGTGCAAGCATCAATTTGTTTTTTTTCCTTTTCATAAACACTCGAGAGATAAACACGAGGTGCAACTGATAAAAGTTAAAAATAAATGCAGGAGAAATTGGGGGG